TGAACATATTCTACCGATTTTTTTTCTTCATATATGTTGGCACATTTGCCAATTCTATTTGTTTGCCGGAATATACCAGTGACATCTATTGAATGATACACGCAGTTTAATGAACAAACTTATTTTTGGTGACTTATCAACTGGCTAATAGGTCACATTTTATGTCACATCCTTTTGTATAGAGAAGAGAACAAAACCTATTGATCAATCAAATGAGGATTGCTTTTGTTGTTGTTTTCTGGCTGATCCTACTATCGGAACTTAAGTTTAATCGGTGTGACTTGTGTGCGATGGGATGTGATTGAGAGGAACAGGAGGTGGAGGACCATGGTAGGTTGAGTGACTTCAAAAATTGTTTTTGGGCGCATACGGCGGCGGGGGGGGGGTTATGTAGACGAATCACAAACCGCCTCTGCGGTGGATACGATGCGGTTTTTATTCGCTTTGATCTGCTCTGCTTCAGTCACACTCACTGTGTGATCGGACTGGATGAGTTGTGAAACGATTGCACTTGTAATAGTTGTATGTAATGAGTTAAGCGTAGCAAATGAATCTATTTTGAAAAACAGCTGTCCAGTCCGTAAGGATTTGAAATTCATGACCACAGTCTTATGGAAGCGGTACAAGAATTCAGGTAGGATGAATAAATTGTGCCAGATTGTCGTTGTTCAAGAAAAAGTTTTAAGCAGGTCACACGTGTGAGCTATTTTAAACCGTTATATATACCATAAATGTTAAATTGTCCTTGGTTTTATACCAGGGCTTGTGTGCCAGGTTTACTCTGGTTTGGAGCGTATCAACCGTTCCACCGAAAATATGAAATTCGTTTTCACATAAATATCATGTTCATGCGATCTCCTCGATGAGACCACATTGTTCGGTCTCTTCAAACGTGGTCATGGCAATGTAATGACCTTGGGTCACGGAGGGTGGATTCAATCAAAATGTTTGTGATAAGCGATAAACAGCTCTGTACAGCCGTTTCGTCCTTTTTGGGACTCGTCGGTGATGCACGCATTTTGTTTCCTTGGTCGGACCCGAATCGCGGGCATTCGGGTTGGGAGTTCAAGCCCTCACTCCCGAGCTACTCGGTGAACGGTCATCACTTTCTGCGAATGGCTCAATCGATTTAAACGATAAACGTTTGGGGAATTAACGATCTCCAAAGGAGTGAAAACCACACACAAGATTATGAACAGTGACTGGTGCCTGTAAAAACGGGAGTGGGCTAATCCAGGGTTTCATCGCTTAAAGTGAGGTTCAATGTTTGTATATGTGGTTACCTGTAGTGATCCACACATATGTGGCCACATTCCAAGTACGCTCAAGTACAACTTCATGTCATCCAGTCACCGGTCAGGAGGCTGGACCAATGGTACACCGGACGAACATGATATCCGAGTTAGTATATATGACGTGTCGGTGCAAACGCTTACGTCATTGGACGACGGTCCTTCAACCAATCATATGGCCTATTACCTTCTATAAAACATGCTCTAATTCTATCAGTAAACATAAGCATTTGCTGCTATCAATTCATCGTGTATTTCATTGGTGTTCGCAGTTCGGATTTGAGCCAGTCCAGTTCTGAGTACTACAGTACAGGTTGGACCTCCACGGAAGACCATCGGAAATTGAAGAATGGGTGGAGCGTTTTGATTTATGGTGCCGCATCCGGAAAAG